TGAAGCCATTGGGAAGCCATTTCAACGCATATATGGCACCATCGTCTCGCTGGGAAAGATGCATGGAGGAAAGATTGAAATCTCTGGCCGAGATGCCATCCTGGAGCTCAGTCTCACTCAGCTCGCCCAAATCACACTCCTCCTCCATGTAGTATAAGGCCGTGAGAAGGCAATTGCCGAAATCCTCAACGTGTTCTGTACGGTAGAACTCTACCAGGCTGCGGCGAACGAGAAGGCGAGGAACAGACTGAATATGCAATGGCCCCCACCGTCTAATCTGTGTACCGACGCGAGAGTCATCTGTTTCTAATGCATGAAATAGCGAGATGTCATCCCGCAAATCACGGCATCGGATATACGCGCCGTCAAAGAGTAGGACGCACATGGAGCCGCCCAATAGGCTGGAGACAGAGGCAAGCATGCTTGCCTCGTCCATAGATAGAATTCCAGATAGGCGCGAAAACTCAGGATTGCGTCGTTCAGAGTAGAGTTGTTGCCAGCGTCGACTGCTTTCGTGTTGAACAATAGCCTGTGCTGCATCTTGAATCTCAGCGCACAACTTCACAAGAAATGGAATGTCACAGCTAGGCTTCCCACCATAGAACAACCGGATGAGCTCAACTTTGGCATCCTCCACTGTGATGTCCATGTAATCTGCAACACACTGACGCCAGGACTTGTAGTTCTTGATGAAGCGAGAAAGCATGACATACTTGGTGTCCGACCATACATCCAAATCAATGAGCTTTTGCTGCAGTAGACGGGGATGACAACAGGCTGCATGTATCTCGGTGCAATGATGGAAAGCCACCGCTCTGGCTTCCTTGGTGAGCTTCTGTCCTGCAATACCACGAGCAAGTAGGCGACCATAAGATGGCTGCGTGTAGTACTCCACTTCAATGACGGACTGACCATCAGCATCCAGACACCCCATCGTGTCGTGTCGATGTGTGTAGGCTTCCAGTAGCTCCTGTCGACGATCGTTTCCTTGGGCCGCATACAGTCGAAGTTTCTCAAGCTCAACACTTTCTTGTACTGTATCAGCAACTGGACGAAGGACAGCATCAGTGTTGCCTCTGGCTGTGCAATGTTGCCTGTAGAAAGCTGTATAGTCGCGGAAAGCATTTCCATCCCATGACTGCATGACGAACTTCAGATCGAATGGACATGTCCACTCTGTCCAGTTACCAAACGATTCGAAACCGCCACATCGATTCATTGACTGTTTCAACTTCGCCCAGTTGATCTGAAGCTTCTCGAAACTGTTGTGGTCCAGCTGCTTGAAGAGCTTCAGCGAAGAATGATCGACTGCACCAACGAAGGTCTGGAGCTTTGTGGTACGACCTCGGCTTGAGGATATACATCCTGGAAGCTCTTCGATCTTGTGCAACAAGTACTCCTTGATCGTTGGTTTTTGAGGAGTCGCAGCATGGACTAACTCCACTATTTCATCATTGGCATTCAGGAAAAGTCGATCGTTACCAGGGGGTACAAGATCGCGTCCAGATAGCTTCGCAGCCAGCCACTGGGTATCCATGTCAAGTCGATCGTCAATGGATTTCAAGTCGTGTAACATGTTCAGGCAATCTGTCACTGAATTCTCCTGGAAGAAGGGCAAGCACCATTCCCGCAAATAGAGCGCTGCTGTGACCGGATGGCGAAGAAATGATGTCAATTCATCTTGTGGAAGGAGTAGGTAGATCCCCTTCTCATGATCAACGTCCTGCGGGTTGGGTGTGTATGTTGCATTCCCCATACGAATACAAACCACTCGTCGACGAAGCTGCTCACATGCCTTGTTGATGTCTTTGCTCTCTTCAATCACAGGCACGTTCTCATAGTTGACTTCCTGAATCTTCATGGACATACCAAAACGTCTTTTTGTGGTGAACCCATAGTTTACCCTGCAGTCGATCTCTTCGTCAACAACAAACCTCTTCCATATATCGGAGAGGAATCGCACTTTGGAGTCCATTTCTTGGATGCGGACATTAGACTTATTCCACACCAGTTCCGCACTCTTGCGGAATTCCATACGATCCAGGAAGACACCACAGTCGAGGCTTGCGGATGACATAGAACCAAATAGTGCTGCATCAAGTACCGCCTCCATGCCCTTACCGTCTCCGCCACGACCTACTTGAAAAAGCATTTTCCCGGTACAACTTCCCTGGAAGGCAGCACAAAGGAAGCAGAGTTTGGCCTGGAACGCATGTTCGTTCTTGTAGTACAAAGAGGTGAGGAAGACGCGAAGTTTCTCTTTGAAAGTGTCGACATTGATGGACGGGTCGGAAATCACCATGTTCTCGTAGAAATATGGATAATCGAATCGAACATAGCAATCACGAGCTTCTGACTTTGGACGGACATCCCATGTAGATGTCAAGTAAATGTCGTCGAAGCAAATGCCTTGCGACTTTGGCATTGGAGTGTCACATTCCTGCAAGAAAAGGCGAGACAATATGGACGTGTGTGCATGAGTCTCCCAAGCCTTGCGATATGCGGCCAACATATCGGCAACCCTTCGAGCCCAGGTTGCTTTCCATGTTTTATTGCTAGTGACCACTCTGACATGATCACTGTTTTGCTTGGCGAAAGAAGCAAGCACATCAAGCAGGTCGCCAATTTGGATGGACTCATTGATGGTGGCCTAGATGTAGTCGGCAGCCTCATTCCATGACCACTTGATCTCGACACCGGAGTT